ACTTTTTACATTTAGATCTGAATTTATTTGGAGTTTTTTTTCAGTGTAAGGTATAGATCTAATTGTAGTTTTTTTCAGTTGACTACTTAGTTGTCCAAGCACCATTAAAAAAAAAATCATCTTTGACTCTGGTTGGTGTTTCTCAGTGGTAGAACCTAGGCCCGTGCACTGAAGGGTCTCAGATTTGATATCTGGTCAAGAGCATGTACCTGGGTGCAGGTTTGATCCCCAGCCCAGTTGGGACACATGTGCGGGAGGCAAGCACTCTGTGTTCCTCTCTCCCCCTTCCTCCGTCCTTCTCTAAAAATCAATGGAAAAAATATCCTTGGGTGAGGATTGACAAAAAATAAATAAACAAAAAATAATCTTTGCTTCAGTGGTTTCAGATGCTGACTTTATTATATACTAAATTTGTACATGTATTTCTGCCTGATTCTGGACTTTCTAGTCTATTCATGCACCAGTATCACACTTTTTAAAAGTGTAGAGTTTTTAAAGTATGTTCTAATGTGTATGGTACTTCTGATTCCTGCAGTTACCTGGCATTTTTCAGTATTTCCCTTGCTGTTTGTGCAGCTTTGATTTTTCCATGTGAACTTGAGTATCAACCTTATCAGATCTTTAAATAAGTTTATTGTTACGAAGTTAGAGAACTGACATTTTTATGATACTGAATCACCTTAGCCATGTACAAGGAATATCTTTCCATTTGTCCAAGTCTATTTTTACTTTGATACTTTCAGGTTTCTTAAGATATATTATCTGTTTTGGTTCATTTTAATTTATTGTAGCAATATAGAAATTACTATGTGATTTTTTACTGTCATGTGAAATAATGTTCTGTGATAGAATAAGAATAAATCAAATAGATAGGAACTATTGAATAGGACTTCGTAGTTATGTTTTCTATTGATTTAAGTGAAATGTGCATTATAATTATTTATATACAGTCATGCACCATCTATTGATGTTTTGGTCATTTACAAACCACATATGCGATGAGAGTCCATAAGATTATAATGGAACTGAAAAATGTCTATCACCTAAAGAAGTTGTATCCTTCATAGCGTCGTAGCAAAATACATTACTCACGTATTTGTGGTGATGCAAACCTACTGAATTACCAGCACAGAAGAGTAACTAACACATACAATTATGTCCATAATAAATGAGTATGTCACTGACTGATGTATTTACTACAGTATAATTTTTAACATTATTTTAGCGTGTGTGTACTCTTTCTACTTAATGAACAAATCTTTACTGTAAAACTACATGCTGTATCACACTGGCAACAGCCTGAACCATCTTGTGTTTACTGTGTCTCGATTGCTTCATTTTCTTTTCTGGTTGATTTAATATTGTGTTGTTTTATACAGTAGCATGCTTTACAGGCTTGTAACCTAGGAGCAATAGGCTGTATGCACCACAGGTGTGTAGTAAGCTATACCATATAGGTGTGTGTAAGCACACTCTACAACATTTGCATGACAGCATCTCCTAATGATGCCTTTCTCAGCATGTATCTCCATCATTATGCAGCACATGACTGTATGCAGATGCTCCTCAACTTAATGGTGGAGTTATATACTGACTAGAGGCTTGTTGCACAAAGAGATTCATGCAATAGGTCTTCCTTCCCCTGGCTGCCGGCACCAGTTTTCCTCCGGCACCTGGGACCCAGGCCTTTGGTCCGGCCGCAGCGGAGAAGCCAAGCCTCTTCAGTCTCTAGTCTTCAGTCTTCACTCCGGCCTGAGCCTTCAATCTTCACTCCATGCCTGTGTATGCAAATTAACTGCCATCTTTGTTGGGTTAATTTGCATAGTTGCTCTGATTGGCTGGTGGGCGTAGCGGGGTGACACAATTTGCATGTTTCTCTTTTATTAGTGTAGCTAAACTGAAACTTGAAGAAAATATTCTAAGTCGGAAATACATTTATTATGCCTAACCTATTGAACATCTTAGCCTAAGCCTAGATAGTTTCTACTGAATGTGTATTGCTTTTGCATCATCATAAAGTAAAAAAATGTAAGTTGAACTATCATAAGTTGATGACAGTCTGTGTAACCATCTCTCCGTCTTATGTGACTTTCTTGAGGGAAAGAGTTACATTTTATTTACCTTACCCTCAGGCTATACATAGTACATAAGCTCCTCAACTTACGATGGGGTTACTTCCGGACATCATAGTGTAGCCTAGCCTACCTGAAATGTGCTCCGAACACTTACATTAGCTTACAATTGGGCAAAGTGCCCAACACAAAGCCCATTTTACAATAAAGTGTTGAGTATCTTGTGTAATTTATTATGAGTATCACTTTGGGGCCATTATAAAGTTGAAAAATTAAGTCTAAATGTACGTTGAGGACTAAGTTTAAAACTAATCGGTGTTTAATAACTGTTTCTTGAATTGATTTTACATAGACAGAAAGACAGACTTTGTAGGGGCTACACTGCATTAGCTTTGGTTGTTCCTGCATGTTCCTATTCCATGTTTCTCACTCCTAAGAGGGGGTGGGAAATGATGTGCACTCCTAACATGCCTATTTGACTTTGTTCTTGGAGATAGAATTCTATTATTTGGGGTTACTCTATTCAGAGACAAGTTTTGATTACTATGAAGACTAAAATTCCATTATAAGCTGTTTTTTAAAGCTTCTAAAAAAATAGATGATAGACTGTTCATACTTACCATCATTTTCTTTTTTGAGGGGTAATGATGTTGAACTCTCATCTTTTTGTAATTGAAGACTTTTATCATCAGGTGTTATCATAGATTCTTTTTTCTATTAGAAAAATAAAAATGTACTATCAAGTGTGAGAAATCTAATTTTCACCATATAAACTGAGGGATATGGACAACATCTGTCTTCTCATAGTCACATAATGGCATTTACTTTATGTTTTATATACTTATTAAAATGTAAAGAGTTGTTTAGCTTGATTTTACTTATACTGTGGGCTCCTTGAGTAAAAGAACCAGGTCTTTTAAAAAAATTTTGATATCTTCAAAGGCCAAACTCTGTGCTTCCTAAATGTCAAATGTATTGACATTCCAAATGGGATCTAGGGGAGAATTCTATGCCTTGGAATTAAAGATTTTCTGAGGTGGAACCTAAAATGAAATTAGTGTCTTGAGATTATTTTTATGTGAAGTAGCTCTTTTAATTATTCATATTCTGCCATGTTGGCCTGTACTAAGCACCAGTCGTGTCCTACCTGGACAGCCCTGAGTAGGCTCTCTTTGCCGCTTCTGGAAGTGACCTTTAAGTATATATGCACGTGCATTAAGGCCTTGGAGTCCTTTCATTCTAGCCTACCCTCCACACTCAGACCACCGGTCCAGGCTGTTAGCTCTAGGAGAATTGGAGTCTTTACCATTTACTCTCTTTCGTATTCTGGGAGGGAACATGTTCTGCCATTAGACTAGAGACTATACTGTGTGGTGCCCTGGTTTCTGTACCCTTCAGGAGCATTTTCCCCTTTTAGTCTCGCTCTCGGCTCCTTCACTTTCTCGTGTGTTCTGGTTGAACAGTCCCTTCCACTCTCTTTGTATATTAAATACCATTGAACTCTGCTCCACTTCGTTTATATTAAGATAGACTTCTAAAGCAGCATAAAGAAGTAAAACTGAGCTTCTTTTACTTATTACATGTTTTGGGACCAGGGACTTTTCAAAGTATTCTTTTAACTGATTGATAGATTCAGATCATACATGTGAGCCAATAGTTTATTATTGTGATGGGCCTTTTTAAAAAAAAAATCTGAAGCTATAACTAGTTATACCTATCTTTTTTGTCTTCTTGTTAGCAAGAATAATACTAGCATATTAACTAACTTTGTTGACAGAAAATGTGGTGTTAACATTTACTCGTGTGTGTGTGTGTGTGTGTGTGTGTGTGTGTGAGAGAGAGAGAGAGAGAGAGAGAGAGAGAGAGAGAGAGAGAGAGAGAGAGAGAGAGAGAATGAAAGGAAAGAAAGAGGGGGGAGGGAGAGAAAGGAAGAAAGAAAGGAAGAAAGAAAGAAAAGGAAGGAAGGGAGGGAGGGAGGGAGGGATGGATGGGGGAAGGAAGAAGGAAGGAAGGAAGGAAGGAAGGAAGGAAGGAAGGAAGGAAGGAAGGACAGACTTAATAACTGGACACTTTATAAATCTTTGCCATCTTATTCATACTGGAGAAGAACTTTGAAGAGACCGACATTGTTAAATATTTGGCTGCATTTCTCATTTTTCAGTGTGTGTGTCACACTATAGGCAGGCGAAAGATACTTCTGTGATGTGTTTACTTTGTCCTTACCCAGTTGTGTGATAAAACCACAAGTAATCACTTAGCCCATATAAGTGAGTATGAAAGATGTGGTAGAGTATTAACTCAAGTTGGTACAAACTGATAATCTAAATCGTTGAAGCTGATTTAAACAGAAAGCCCCATATTAAGTAGTTTTTCATTTTTGATACTCTCTATAGTTGACATCTATAAATTTTGTGAAATATTATATATACCAAAATGACAGTACTCTTCTATTTATTTTCTTGAACCGCTTCTTCCTAAAATAATAAACCTTAAGCTGGTAATTCATCTTTATTTCTCCTAATACACATCTCCTATTTTATTTTGAAATAACATAATATCCAAATATAGGGCATTGTTTAACACTACTTAATACTATAAATTCCAACTGGTCAGGGAGTATCTTAAAGTTTAGTTTTGCTTAAGTATTTATGTGTTGGTTACTGTAGATACTGTTTGGTTACAATAAGTATGATTTATTGAGGCATGCGTTCTTTAAAAATATAATCTTAGGGACACTTATTTTTAATTAATTTGAAACACTTAAAGTGCTTTTTCTTTCCTCTTAACCTTATCAGACACGTTCAAAAAAACAAAAGCATGCAGTTAAATAGGCTAGACTATTTTAGAAGTGAAATTTAGAATGGAAATAAGGTACCTTAATATTTTTTCCATCCAGGTATTGATCCTCATAATGTCGAGTAAATAAAATTTCTTCAAAATTATCGGTGTTCTGCTGAGTTGGTGGTGCTGGCTTTATCAGAGGCACAAACAGTAACAGGAGAAGTGTAGACTGCAGAATCTTCATTTTAACAAAAATTAAGGTGACTGGAAGTTAATAAGCTAGTGGCCTGCTGACTGTAAGACAATACTCCTTTTTCCATGGAAGTAAAATCCAGACCATCGAAGCAATATTTAAAAGCTTAGAGGAGTTTTTGGCAGAGTATATGCAGTAGGGGCCAGAGAACAAGTATTTAACCCTTAGTGATCTTAAATTACATGCTAAACGTTTTTATGTTTCAGTGATATTCTGAAAAACAGTTTCAGAAAATGATTTTATTTCTTTTCTATCAAAAAATCCAAGCAATGTTGATAATTTTAGTTTCTTAATAATTAAGTGCCTTGAACACAGTACTTTTATGAACTTGAAATCTTAGAATACCTGTAGTATAAATGGTTAACATGAAGGCCCAAGATCCTGTCTCATGTGAGCTTAAAATATCATATTTCAACTTTGCTACTTTATAAGAACTCTTGATTTGTATTGGTATGAACAAAAACAAGTTTTAAGAAAAGTTTTAAAGTTTAAACTTTAAATTTAACATTGTAAAAAGTAGTTATTAACACTTTTAAAAGTTGTACAAAATGTAGGAAAAGCCATAATTTTAATTTTCTTAGTTTTTCATTGTCATAGGTATCACTGTTTTTAGTTAATAAAATAGCTTTATCAATTTAAACTATGAAAAGTAAAAAAATAGTATTGCAGACTAGAAAAAGATAGAAGTTTTAATCAAGGATTAGAGAAATGTAATAGGTAAGATTTAGGCTTACTGGTGGATTTTATCTGGTGGTACACATTTAAGATTTTTTCTTAAATAATTTCAAACAGAATCACTCAGAGTTGCTGGTGCTGCATTGTAAATGCCATTCATCAAAAATCAGTGGTTAAAAATGAATAACAGGGTCGGTGATGTTTGCAGCTCTGTGTTCTTGCCTGCAATGGATATTAAAGTTATGTAATGATTTACACTAAAGTGTTAGTTAAAAGTAATTGTTTGAGGTAACTGGAACATTAAAAAATTAGAGATAGCCTTTACATTTATTAAGACTGTTAGGTGAATCACATTTTAATGATATTTAAAATAATACTGGGGAGAGGGGAGTCTACCGTTGTAGCTATTATGAAGTTTTTTTGTGGTTTCCCTCAATAGATGTTCATGTCTGCGCATAAGCACCAAGTGGGAGGGTGAATGAAGAAAGCTGTGGATTGATTTTAAACTGCTGAGTAGAATTTCAGGGCCCAGCAGCTTTAAAAGCAGTTTCCATGTGGTAGAGAGCTTTGCCAACATTCTTTCTCTAGGCTGAAAAGTAATGGCTTGCACTCGAGAACTGTGCTTACAATATTTGTAACTGTTGTACTCAGTCTGCTTATACTAATTATTGTAAGTTTGCGTTGTATTTACCTTGTAAAATGAATACTAATTTTTTGTGAACATTAGTTTATGAAGATGACATAGTTGTAAAAGCATGCTTTTCATTTTAATGTTTTCACAGGACATAAAACATCTGTTTTTGAATGAAATAAAATAGCAAACTAAAGCATAGTGTATGATCTTAATTTTATGAGGAGTAAAAATACTGTTCCAGACTATAGTTAGTTTAGAACCAAGAAATTTCCAATGTAAAAATTAGTTTTAGTTACATATAAAATAATTCAAGTGCCATAGTTAGCTTTTAAAAAGCAGCTTTGATTTATAATTTGGGGTTTGATAACAAAATATATTTTTGTTTGCTAAATGAGGGAAACTGTATAACTATTTAATATTAAATTTAAGGTTAAAGAGTCAAGTGATATTATCACTCTTTGTTGCATTTAGCAATCAAGGTAACATTTCTTTCTCCTCTAGGCTAAAAATCTAGTAAATGTGCATGTGGATAAATATTAAAAAATAGAAAATGAAACAATACTAATTTGTTCTCTTTTTCTATTCAAAACTGGTCTAAGGCCCTTTCAAATTAAAAATTGGATAAACTAAAACTTGATATTTATGTTTTTATTTGAATGTGTATTATTTCAAATTTAGTTGTGATATTTTCTGGGTTTGGTTAATAAAAATTGTCAATTTCATGGCTTATAGGGTACAATAAAAATTTTAAAGTCTTTGAAAATATCTAATGAAACAGAAGATAATGATGAATGTAGAGAATTGAATTGGATATATATTAAGTGTCAGATTTAGAGAATCTTAAAGATTCATAGTTTTACTAATGTTTGATACTTTGTGCTACAAAAAAATTTGTGGATTATAACTTTCCTTGAAAAGTTATGGCCAGGACTACACTTTGATTGGGATTTATTCATTTAGTAATAGTTTAGGGAGCAGTCATTCTCTGCCAGAACTATGCATGAGAAAAACTCCCCTCAAGCAACTTGTAGTTTGTAAATCAGCAGGAAAGTCAGCACACAAACCATAGAATGCACAGTGGGACCTCCTACCGAGAAATGTGCAGAGTTCTGTGATAGCCTGAGAGGGTGAGGCCACAGGGGCTGCACCAACCTGACTTACGGAGAGAAAAGAAAATAGGTGACGACTGGGGATGGAGACAGAGGGTGATGTCTAGGAAGGGTAGCATCGCATAGCTGGGGAGAACATTTGTTTGTTGTATGTGGCTGGAGCTTGGAGGAGGGAGAGAAGTTATGAGTGGATGGCACATATTAAGAGCTCAGATAAGGGACTAGAGGTCAGATTAAGGAGAGTTTTGTACCTTGCTAAGGTGTTTGGGCTTTATTCTATAGCCAGTGAGAGACCACTGAGAGATTTTTTTTTTAGCTAGTGAGTAATATGATCCTATTTTCATTTTAGAAATATCCCACTAATGTTGCATTTCTGACGAGTACCACTACTTGTCTATTGTATTGGTTATGTATTACAACTTTAGTGGCTTAAAATAACATACATTTATTATCTCAGAGTTTCTGTGGGTCAGGAGTCCAGGCATGGCTTTGCCTGGTTCTCTACTTCAGGATCTTACCTGAAAGCTGCAATTAAGGTGTTGGCTGGGGCTGCACCCTCACTTCAAGACTTGGATACAGTAAAGGATTTGCGTGTGAGCCCACGTGGCTGTTGGCTGAAGCTTCATGCAGTATGTGGAATTAAGAGCTTCAAGTTTCTTGCTGGATGTTGGCTGAAGGCCACCCTTAGTTCCTTGCCACGTCACCTCCTCCATCAGGCGCTCCTAACATAGCAGGCTGCTTCTTCACAGCTAAAAAGGAAGGTAGTCTTGCAGTAAGATGGACATTGTAATCTTTTTAGCAATCATGCACACATAATCACATATATGCCCTCACCGTTGCCATGTTCTGTTGGTTAGAAGCAAGTCAGAGGTCACAGCCACACAGACGGGGAAATGACTACACAAGGCAAGCTTCTAGAGATATTCAGACTTGCACTGGTAAATAAACGTATCTTCTTGCCCAGAGTTAGCCAAACAAAGTTTGAGGGCAAAGTCCCCAAGACCATCCTCACTTACACCAAGTTCAAGATTAGGGGGGTTCCCAAAACCACCCTCACATATGATAATTTGCCAGAAGCTAGATTCATGGAGCTCACTGAAAACCATTATAGTTGTGGTTTATATACATACATATCAGCCAAGGGATACATTAGGTAGAACATAGGAGGGTTCCAAAGTGCAGAGCTTCCATTTTTCTCAGGTGCGTTACCCTCCTGGCTTTGATGCGAGACAGCAAACCAGAGAAATGCTCCCAAGCCCCACTGAGAGGTTTTATTGGGGCTTTATTACATTGTCATGATCGATTGAATGTCCAAGTGGTTGAACTCAGCATCCAGGTTGACAGATTGCATGACCCAAAGTCCCCATCCTGAATCACATGATCTTTTGGTCTCTTTCTGACATGGCCAACCCTGTATTGGGTATGACTAGTTCACCCTAAGATGTAATGTGATGACCCCAACTCTAAAAGATATTGGTTACCTCCTAAAAGCTAACAGCTAAGCCCAGACCTCTCGTGGGTATAAAGTTCTTTACTGTGCAGTTCCAAGAATAAAACATGTTTGAAATTTATATTGTTTTCTGTTGTACAGAGAACTATTATATCCTAGTAGAAAGCTTTTAGCTTTCACTGCACCGTAATAAAAGATAGAAGTTGTCTAAGACTTAAGAGCAGGCATTTATCCAAAACTGAGTGAGTTTTCTCTATGGAGTTCTTTTTGGTGCCCCTATTGCATTATCCTTGGTGTCTTTGTAGGGGTTTATATTGTTGAAGGTGTGCGGTTGGGCAGTTTGTTCTACCTCCTAATTGTTCCTCAACAGCAGGCATGTATTGAATAGAATAGAATTTTGGAAACAAGGGTTTTCTAGGAGTTGTTTGTTTGTTTTTGGAGGAGGCTTAGTTCTACTGACAAAGAACATGTAACTAACAAGTGGATTGCATTTCAAAAACTACAAGCTCGAAGAATCTTTTTTCTATTTTCTTCATCTTTCTAACTTTATTGGAAGTAGTATAATTTAGGAGTCAGATCACATAAGCCTTAGTTTTGTTCTGTTTTTAACCTTCCCTTGATCTTGGTTATAATTCTTTATCTTCTTTATCTGTTGGTCTAGATAGAATCTATTCTAGCCCCTAGGGTTTCTCAGCCTCAGCACTATTGAAATTGTGAGCCAGAGCAGTGGTCGCCAATGGGTGGTCCGCGAACCGCTGGTGGTTCATGAGGTCCAAATGGTTGGCGACCACTGGGCCAAATAATCCTTTTGGGAGGGACTGTCATGTGTTTTACTGGACCTTTAGCAGGTTCCCTGCCTTCTGCTCACTAGATGCCAGTAACTCTTCTCCACTCACTTCTGCGGCAGGACAACAGAATGGTCTCAAGGCATTGCCAAGTGTCCCCTGGACGGCAAAATCGCCCCTGTTGAGAGTCACCCAGTGGCCAGGTATTTATAGACTCTTTAAATACAAAAATCTTGGAATATTTCAAGATTTTATGGGAAATCTATGGTTTGAATCTCCATCTCAGATCTCATACTTATGCCTGAAGCCCAGTCAGTTGGTTAACCCAGAACTTCTCAAACTAAAGGGTGACATTTAAAAGGAGGGAAGTATGACTCAATATAAGGAAGAGTTCATGTCAAAATGTATCATATTTGTGAGTTTAATTTTTTCTGTAGTACATAAATCTTTATATGGTGAATTTGCAACATATTTAGGTTTTAATGACAGACCATGTCCATGATTATGTCATATTTATTTGCTAGCCATAGTTATATTTATTTAGACAATTGGAACATATAAAAAACTTTGGATTTTTAGCTGCTATGATTTAATTTTGTTTCCAGCTGCAAGTATGCTCTATTTCTAAGGTTTAGACAAAACAGATTGGGAATCAGGAAATGAGTTTGGTTTAGGGGTCATATGAATTCTCTGCAATAGTGAAAGAATGCAGAAGAGACAGGTTTATTTCTTCCGTTTTGTTCCCATGGAGGTGGTTAGTGTGTTACATGATATGCACTCTCCATTTTAGTTTAGTGGCTCCACTTAAGAAATAAAGGCAAAATGTATAGTGTTTCAGTTAATATTTAAACACAAGCTAAACATTCTCAACTAGTATTATTGTGAGCAAATTTACGAAATACTCTTTATTTTTATTTCTTTTCTATAAGGATGTTGGGCTTTTATATTTATTAAGCTTGGGTTCATGGTATGATTGGATTAGTTAATAGTCATACAGTTCAGCCTAGTAGCTAATGTAACTAATACTTTAAGGTGTAATAAGGAAATAGATGAATTTTTATCTTTTTCTTTCCTGTTATAAATATCAGATTGACTGGGTTTATCTGTAGCTCTGGTAGGTATCTGCAGTTTTGATGTGCAAGTTGAAGAAGTCCTTTATTCTTCACTTTCTCCTAAAGAAAGCATTGGGTGTTATTTGCCCTTTTTGTTTAGTTTTGTTTTTATTTATTTTTTTTATTTTTATTTTTATTTTTATTTTTTTTAATATATTTTATTGATTTTTTACAGAGAGGAAGGGAGAGAGATAGAGAGGTAGAAACATCGATGAGAGAGAAACATCGATCAGCTGCCTCCTGCACATCTCCCACTGGGGATATGCCCGCAACCCAGGTACATGCCCCTGACCAGAATCGAACCTGGGACCCCTCAGTCCGCAGGCCAACGCTCTATCCGCTGAGCCAAACCGGTTTCGGCTAGTTTTGTTTTTAATGAGAAATAGTTGGGGCGGGCTCCTTAGAGTATATTCTTAGAATAACAAAAGAAGGTTGTGAACTTGTCTTCTCCTGGGCCCTGCGGCTGGAGGCCTTCTGTGCTGTGTCGCAGTGCAGCCTTGGGAGGGAGCTGAGCAGAGTGCAACTCTTCCTCCCAATGCACTGCAAGGGCTTGACCTTGCTGCCTCCCTGGCAGGCTGTCCGTGTGCTCTGCAAGGTTGAACGAGTAGATGGCTATTAGAATAGGTTTGTTGCCTGTATGTGATGTAAGCACCCCCCTATCTCCTAAGGAAACTTGAGTCAAGTCTTTCTTGTTCACTGATCTTTTGTATGAGTAGAATCTTGGAAGGAACCTGAAGAGTACTGATCCATTCTAGGGGCTCAGAGAGAGCACCTACATGTGCAAAAGGCAGCTGACTTTTGGGGAGCAGCTAGATGCAGCAGGTGCTGGACGGACATGCTGAAATCCTGGTTCTGGCTTGCTGGCTGCCTGTGACTGACATGGGCTTGTTACATTTTTTGTTATGTACACTATTTCTCTTTATCCTTATAGCAGTTATATAAGAACCACCTTCCTTATGGAAATGAGGAAAGGGAAGCTTCTAGAATAAGTAACTTTCTGAAGTTAGCTAGCTCAGAACTATGAAGTCAGGCTTCTACCCAGGTGCATCTGATTTCAAAAACCTTGTTATAAATTGCTAGATTGTGCAGTTTTATTCTTCGCTAAGGTTGTTCTTTGAGGATGAAAATGTATTTTCTTTTATCAGTTTATGAGATAAAAATAGAAGCTCCAAAATTCTGAAAATTGTAGGGCTTTGTTTTTGTTTCGTAAGAGTGAAGAGGTAAAATAAGGAATTCCCCTATCTCTATATTAATCTCGCCCTGGGAGTGTGTTTTCTCCACTCTGACCAGTCAGTTCCTACTCACTTGAAGCCTTCTGCTTCTCTACCACGTCCTGGTCATCCTCAGGCAGCAACATCACTTTTCATAGTTTCTGCCACTTTAGCATTTGATTTCTTTCCTCCTTGTGTTAGAATTAGTTGTTTGATCGTCTTCATTAAAATTTTTTAACAACAGCTTTATTTAAATAATTCACATCTCATACATTTCACCCTTTTAAAGTATATAATTCAGTAGTGTTTTAGTATTTTCAAACTTGTACAACCATCATCACAATAAATTTAGAATATTTTATCACCCCATAAAGAAACCTTCTACCCATTATCTGCCTCTTCCCACTTTCCCTCTATTCCTCTTCCTCCTAGCCCAGGCAGTCAATTATCTCTCTCTTTCTCTATAGATTTGCCTATTCTGGACATTTCCTATAAAAGAATGATAGATTATGTGGCCTTTTCTGACTAATTTTTTTACTAGCATAATCTCGTTATGGTTTATCTATGTTGCAGTGTACTACTTTATTTCTTATTTTGGCTGAATATTTCATTGTGTGGATATACTACATTTTGTTTATCAGTTAGTTACTGAAAAGGGGACCTGGCCCTTGGTGGGTCTGCCTAGGGCCAGCCGGTAGTGTGTGGGTTCTTGAATTTGTGCAGGAAATAATTCACAACAGGAGCCCAGGTAACCATGAGGGAACGTTTATTAAAGCTGGGACAGTAAAACAAGAAAGGGCTTAGCATAGAAGCAGCAACAGGAGAGCCAGGCTGGGCTGCCTCAGGTCTCTGGGAAGGCAGAGAAAAGGGGGCCTTGGGAAGGGGTTCAGGGGTGAGCCTGGGACAAGCTGCCAATGGTTGCAAGCCTTGTTGGGGGTCCTTTAGGGTTTAGGAGGTGCCTGCCTCTGGGGGAAGGTGGGGGAGGGAATTTCGGGAGCTGCTCCTAGAGGAGACAAATGCACGGGGTCCTTTGTCTCACAGGGGAGCCTTAGCGGAGGTGTCAAGGGAGGGTTCCAGCAGAATATTCGACAGCCTTCCAGGTGGGCTCCTCCAGGGCTGTGGTCCCCCCTGATGGGTCATTGCCAGGGCCGGGGTTGTCAGTCATCACAGCTGGTCCTGGTGTCGCCCACCTGGTTTTGCTGCTTTTCTGGGCCTGGAGCTGAAGTACAACCGAAGCCTAGATGTTATCTGTGGGGAGGGGACCTTGTGTATCTGTGTAAATTGCTTCAGTGTGTTTAGCTGTTCCACCTGTCTTGGCTCACTGGCTTTACCAGTTGATGGACATTGGTGTGTGCTTTCTGTCTCTTAATGGTTAATACTGCTATGAACATTTCTGTGCATGGTTTTGTATGAACCTGTGCTCATTTTTCTTAGAGATGCACCTAGGAAATAGAGTTTTACATGTCTGGTCTTCACATATTGTCCTAATTGCTATGTCATAGTGATGGATTTTTTAAGGATCTGCCAGACTGCTTTCTAAAGCAGCTTTACCATTTGATATCCCTATCAGTGCTGCATGAGGGTTCCCCTTTTTCTACCTCCTTGCTAATACTTGGTATTTTGTCTTTTTATTATAACTATCCTGTGAGTGTGAAAGGGTATCTCATTGTGGTTCCCATTTATAGTTCTGTGATGGCTCTTCAGTAATTTTTAAATTATTCTAGGTAAGAAACACTCTATTAATAATTTCTTGTGTCTTAAAACACCCACAGTATTTTCCACATATTAATTCATAATAAATTTCTACATTTATAATCCTATTTTTAAAAAGTGGGCTGTCCCCACATCACTAGCATTTTGCTCTGGCTTTTACCCTCACACCTGTACCTTATATGTCTCAGTCCCACGTAGGTACTCCATTTCTTGACCTCTCATTGCTAAGCCCTACACACCAAATAACTTGATGAATGTTAATTAAAGGAAAGAATGGAATGTTGTCTGTTCAGTTTGGATTGTGGAGCTAGTTCCTGGGGTCAGGTGGATACTATTTCTGCTAAATGCTAATAACTTAAAGTTATAAAGAGCATCAGAGGCTTCATTTAAACTGTCACTTCCAGAAAAAAAAAGACAACTTGAAAACTGCTTCTAAAATAGAGTGTTACATGTCTGGTCTTTGCATATTGTCCTAATTGTTGTTTATTCTTTGGATTTTCTGTATAGGTCGCCCCACATTTGTGTGTTTATTTCTTATTTGAGGAATTCTATGCAATGTTAGCCTAATAAATCAAGAAAGTTCATCAAAGCAGGTAGATCATCTCTATTATAAGGTATAGTTAAAATATTTCAAAATGATAGGTAATACGTAATTTTTAAGGTTTTAATGAGACCGTCAAAACCCATCTGTTCAAATTTTAAAGGAACTTTATTCAACTTTAACATTATGTAAATAAACATTGGCTAATACACATATAAATTCCTAATTAATTGTGCTAGAAAAGTAGAAGTGTTTAATAATGTTGATATACTTTCTTGTGCTAATATTAACCTTGTGAACAAAGTAGTTATTTATTAGCAAATCTTTATGTAATTAAAACAAAGAAATCTTTCTTGAGTGCATCCTCCTATATAAAAGCCTAATATGCTAAGTGTCTGGTTGTCAAGTCGTCTGTTCAACCAATTAAAGCGTAATATGCTAATGGTTTGCTAAAGCAGCTCAACCACTTGTTATGATGTGCACTGACCACCAGGGGACAGATGCTCTGACCTGTAGGTTAGCTTGCTGCTGGGGTCCTGAGTGAGATGGGCTGGACATGCCCTAGAGCCCTCCCGCGGTCCCTCCCCAGCTGGCCAGCCTCCCTTGTTCCTCCTGGCCCTGATTGTGCACGGTGGGGTCCCTTGGCCTGGCCTGCGGCCTCTCGCAATCCAGGCTGAGGGGACCAGCCCCCCCTTTTTCCCCCCAGTGCACGAATTTTGTGCACTGGGCCTTTAGTTTACTATAAAACATTTATTCCAGTTAAAATGAACACAGTAAAGACTGTTTTGGAATTTTCTAAAATTTGCTAAATACAGATTGTAATGAGATAATTTGGTGTTTTTTAGTTATCCAAACACAGAGTTTAAAATTTTGTTGCTTTGAAGCTCTAAGGGAAAAATAGGATTCATTTATTTTATGAATCTCTTTGCCTGGGTCCTTAGTAGGGTGGCATCTTTTGACAATCAGAAGTATCATCTTAAGCACTAAGTGGTAGGGCCAAGGGGTGGATTCGGTGATGGTAATACCATCCAGATAGACTTTTCTGGAGATCAGGTAAAAAAAAAAATGTATTCCTTAAGTGAATGGCTGCCTATTACAGGAATGTAACCTGTTTGCATTTAAATAATCCTCCTAGTAATTCAAAGCTTTTGATGCTACTTCTTTCATCATTCTTAGAAAAATTACTGTTAATAGAAAGGACATACTCACTTTTTCTCAACATAAAATTTTTATGTTTAAAGTTTAGTTTTTGATTTCTACTTGTTATTCTAATTTACATTTCTTAAGGCTTGTATCATTTTGAGTAAATTCTAATCCGATGTAATTATGCAGATGGTATACCAATACCTTAAATTTAAGTATTTGATTTTATACTAACACATAATTCTTCATCTATTATCATGAGCTATAAGTTTTGTGAAGCCATAAATGTACACCTATATAGTTTCTTGCCATTCTTGACTTCCATAATAGTGAGGGTCAACATTTTCTTCTGTTCCTTCTTGTTCTGAGTCTTCTTGGTGATCATCATGCTCTTCACTATCAGGGTCATCTTGAAATCTCCCTAAAACTTGGGTCTTCAGTTGTATTGTTTGACCATTAGTGCTTCTTTGTTCACCATAATAAATACTATGTATATGAGGGAAGCAGAGGGAAATGTATGAGCTTATTGGCTCTTTTAACTTGTTTTGGTCCACACGAATGTATGTTAAATGGTGGTAATATAGTGGGTCAACAGATGGACACATCACTGTAACATTGATATCTGAAAATACAAATTAAAAATTAGTCTTGCTATATTACATTCATCATCCTATATTGGATTTTGTTAAAATGTTATATAGATCTAGTTTTATTAATTAGAATACTTATAAGTGGAATTAGGTTTAATTATTTTTACAGTTACTCAAATAATAAAATGAACATAAAACTATAAATGAATTCTATATTATCAAAATAAATGACTTCATTGGAAACTTACTAATTTAAGTAATAAATAAATTATTAAAGTAATAAATTCTTAGTAGAAACAGTCTCAAAAAGAAAAAAATGAAAATCTTCTATAGTCCCACTACTCAGAATACACGTATTTCTTCATATACTCTACAGTACTATTTCTCAATGTTTAAGGTGATAAAATTTAATAGAAAAGACTATAAACTTTATAGCACACCTTTCTCTGGGACCAGTTTCTCCCATTTTCCTAGCCAACTTTAAAGCAATCATTTTCAACAATGTATAAAGCATAGATTATATCTTTAAAAAATAATGAAAATTTACATACTTTCAATTTCATTATTTTCTAGGTATAGGTGTTCTAAATTTCTTGGAATATAGAATGCTTGCTTCAGTTTGTTGTGTCCAACATTGAGCTCTATAAGGTTGGAAAGATTAAAAATATTATATGGGATGTCTTGTAGTTTGTTGTGGGACATTCTTAGAGCATGAAGTTTCGGAAGTTCATTGAAGTAACCTTCTGGTATAGAAGAAATTGAATTATTTTCTAAAGATAGATACATAAGTGAAGAAGGCAAACCAGGAGGCATTGATTCTAATCTATTATGACATAGGTTGAGCTGCATCAATTTTTCCATTTTGGCTAGGTGATTTTCTTGTAACATAGAATCATCAAGATGATTATAACAGAGATCAAGCATGGTCAAGTTTACTAGTCCATTCACGGCATTTGTCTGCAGTCTGGAGATCACATTGTAACCAAGAAGAAGTCTTTCCAAAGATTTAGGAAGAGGAAATGGAAATTCTTCTAAGTTGTTATGCTGTAGTTGAAGTTGTAGTAGATTTGACAATTTAGCAAACACTCCATGATCGATCTTTTGAGATTTAATTTTGTTGTGGCTGAGATTGATTTCTTTAAGATGAGTTGCATTGATAAATGAGTCTGCAGTCACAGCCTCAATTTCATTGAACTGTAGATAGACTTGCTGAATGTGTGCTGGAATATTTGGGATACGCTGGAGTTTGCGATGATCACAGTACATGGATAATGGAAAGTTAGGTGGACAGAAGCATTCACTAGCACAGCCTAAAGCATGCGGATGAAAAGGCACTTGATAGTCCACATTTTGATGAAAATGGAATTCTGGTTGGTAAACATCATCTGTCTCTTGGTCGTAATCTTCATCCCATTGATAACTTTCATATTGACAATGTACTTTGCCTCCAAGAAAGAAGAAAAGGATACATACTGGACTTAAAAAGCCCATAGTTTCTTTTTGTCCTATTGCAAGGAGAAAAGGAAATATATTGTGGGAAAAGATAGTGAAATTTAGAAAAATTTTTGTGTAAGTTGAGAGATGCACATATATATCTATTGAAATACTAGAGGCCTGGTACATGAAATTCGTGCATGGGGCAGGGGGGTTCCTCACCCGGCCTGCACCCCTCTCCAATCCGGAACCCTCAGGGGGATGTCCAACTGCCGGTTTAGGCCCGATCCTATCCCACATCAGGCCTAAACTGACAGTCGGACATCCCTCTCGCAATCCGGAACCGCTGGCTCCTAACCGCTTACCTGCCTGCCTGCCTGATCGCCCTGAACTGTCTCTGCCGCCTGATGTCCCTAACTGCTCTCCTGCCAGCCTGATCACCCCTAATAACTCTGTCTGCCGGCTTGATCGCCCCCTAACTGCTCTCCCCTGCAGGCCTGATTGCCCCTAACCGCCTCTGCCTTGGCCCCCGCCACCGTGGCTTTGTCCAGAAGGACGTCCAGAAGATGTCCGGTTTAATTAGCATATTACCCTTTTATTAGTATAGATATAAAAAAATGTCCAGAATGAATAGACAGTGCTCAAGCCAAAATTAAAATAGCCCAAGTGTCCCTCAGTAGGTGGGTGGATAAAAAAGCTGTACATTTACACAATGGAAAACTACGAGGCTGTACAAAGGAAGGAATTCTTACCTTTTGCAGTAGCATAAATGGACCTAGAAGGTATAATGCTAAGTGAAATAAGCCTGTCAGAGAAAGGCAAAGACCATATGATCTCACTTATATGGGAATCTAATGAATAAAATAAACTGATGAACAGAATAGGTCCAGAGGCATGGAAGCATGGAACAGACTGACAGAGGGGAGGGGATTGGGGCTGGGTGAAGAAAAATGTTTAAATAGCAGTAAGGATGTTTTGTTTTTTTGTTGTTGTTGTTTTGTTTTGTCTTTTTTAAAGTCACATATTGCATCGAACCAGACTAAATAACCACCTTTTAAGAGAATCTTAGTTTGTCTTGCTAGTTTACTAGACTACAGATTTGCAGTGACAACATGATGTTTCTCAACTCCAAAGTCAGTGTTTCCTTCACTATAAATGCTGGGTATTCTTATGGCTATTTGGCCTCTTGATGAAACCTTATGTTTTAATTAGAGAGCTTTTATCTGAGGTATTCTTTCTTAATATTAACCAAAATTTCCCACTGCAACTTGTTTGCTGATACTCTTTTCTGCCCTTTGGGAGAACATGGAACACTTCCTTTTATGTGAGAGTTTTAGATATTAAAAATAGCTATCATGTTTCCTCTTTGTGTTTTGTTTTTTTTTACCCACGCCTAAGTATGACTTCAGATTTTCCCCATGAAACAGTTTTCAAAATCCAGTTATTTAATCTCTGAGGCACATGGAACCCTAAGCAGGAATCAAACCAGCACCTCCTGGTTTATAGGTTGACAGTCACTGAGCCACACAGGCCAGGCAAGTCCTATCACTTCTGATGATTAATTCACTTAACATATCTGCCTTTTACCTCACCAATAAAGTAAGAATAATTGTTTAGCTGTTTATCTCATCTGGTAGTTGTTAGGGTCATATGAGATGTGCTCTGCCCACTTACTGTGATTCAAAAGTAATAAGTATGTTAAAAAAACAAAAAAGAATCATCCCTTTTATTTTGAATCCATTTTTCTCTGTCCTTGTCATCCAGGGTTTTATGAGAGAATTAATGTCCTAACATGTTATTATATGAATTAAATTATGTTATCTCCTATTCATATAGAATGGTACTAGCCATTTTTCATCATTGGGATAATTGAAAAAATAGTTACTTAAATAATTTTCTCTGGTAGAACCTCATTTTAGAAAG